CCTCTCCCTTGCCTCCTCCTCCCTGCCCTCCGCGGCTTTGTGGCGGGGTTGGGGCCCACCCCCCCCCTCCCTCTCCCACCGCCCTCCTGCTCTCCCTCCCCCCCAGAGGGGGCGCTGAGCGGCCTGACCTGGCTTCCCTGGGGGGGAGCCTCCTTCCCCACCCCCTGGCCTAGATTCCAGTTGCTCAGAGCCTCTGCCGAGTCCAGCCCCCCCCCTGCCCTGGGCCAGGGAGGGAGGGGCCGCGGCAGCCGCCTTCAGAAAGGGACGGCCTGTGCCGGTCTGTCTCCTGGTGGCTTTGGTGGACAACAGGCTGCCCTGGAAACGCTCTTCCTCGTGGGCACGGGACCAGCCCTCCTTTGGCACAGGCCTTGGGTTTGGCCAATGGTGCGCAGGGGAGGGGAGGGGCTGCGGAAGCCCTCGAGTTAAGGTCTACACGGGGAGGGTTAGTGAAAATAAGGCTTATTCCCTCCCCCCATCGATTTTAGTCCAGTGGAAGGGTGCACTCCGGCCCACCCTTCCCTCAAGGAGACTCCTCGCCCCCCCACCCCGTCCGGGTGGGAGAGGTGCTCTTCCACGCCTTCTCCGTGCCACCGATCTCTCGCAGTCGGCCGGTTCGGAGGGCACCGTCCCTTTCTGCGGTTGCTCCGAGGAATTAGCGCCCGCTTGGTCGCAGGCACTCGGTGGCCTCTGGCCTCTCCTGCGACGGAGGGGCAGCGGTAGGTCCCAGGCCTGCTGGCCCCGAGTCGCCAGCACCTAATCTGCGTCTCCTCCTGCAGCTCGGAAGGTTTTGCAGGTTTTCATTGGGGCCGGGCGCTCCCCCATTTATTCACTCGCTGCATTTCTTCTCTGCTGTGCCTCCCAAGGACTCACGGCAGGGCACCGTTCAACCGAGACCCACTGCAGTAACGGGCCCCCAATAAAACCATATAAATCGTGTATCGTAATAAAACTCCAGTGAATACCAGTCGGCATCCGGTGAAGAGGTGTCAATCCCAGACGCACTTCGGCAGAATCCTGCTTTCAAGGCCTTCCTGGAACTTGGGAGCAAAGCAAAAAGGGGCTGTTCTGCGGGTGGGGGCTGCTGTCACGGAGGAACACCCCTCTCTTGCTGGGATGGCTAAGAGCTAGCAGCTGGCCCACCCAGACGAGGCACCCGAGGGGGGTGGTCCTGTAGCACCTGAGTGCCCACTGTACCCAGGAGCCCGCTGGCAGCCAGGGCAGCGCCTGCAGCACAGGTGTGGGACCTGAGCAGCCGCCTTGGCTCGCTGCCACCTTTTGCATCACCTGCAGCTTCAGAAGCCGCCCCAGGCGGAGCGCGTTGCCGTAATCGAGTGGGAGGCGACAAGGGCAAGAGGCACTGTAACCAGGGCCAGCTTCTGCAGGGAGGGCGGCAGCTGGTGCACTGGGCAAAGGCTCCCTGACCCCAGCCTGTGCCCGCTGTCCAGCAGGAGCCGTGAGTCTAGGAGAACCCCCCTCACACTGGGAGGGAAGCGCAACGCTGTCCCGTTTAATTCCTGGAGCAGCAAGAGCACTTTCTGGACAAACTCCCTCGGACCTGTAAGTGAAGCGGGTGGGGCTGGGCCAGGAAGGGGCTCTGCCTCGCATTCGGGGGGTAGGACGTGAGCCAAATCCCAAGCTTGTCCCCGTGGTCCAGAGTCCCCTAAAGGCACTCCCAGCCTACCATCTGAGTGGTGCCCTGGAGGCCTCCTGGTATTTGAGGACTACGCCACCCCTCGCCCACAGCATGGCATGGCGTGGCCATTAAGCTGTAGGGTCAACTGGGAGTGGGAGGTCAAAAACAAACAAGAAACCCACACCCTAAAAGGTGGTCACGGCAACCCTTGGTCCTGCTGCCCCAAAGCCTCCCTGGGTGGGTCCACCATCAGCGGGAGTCAAGACTGCCTTGAAGGAGGCGTTGCCTTTTCCTTACTCTCGGGCTCCTGAATCGCCTCTCCACGAACGCCTCTGTCTTATCCTGCGCACAAAGTCTTCCATCTTTCCTTAGCCTCACATTTGTTTAGTCGTTAAGTCATGTCTGACTCTTCGTGACCCCATGAACCATATTGCGCCAGGC